CCCCCTCCCCCCCGGCGGGCGCAGCTGCGTGGAGCTGGCGCTTTGGGCCCGTGCCGGTGCGCCCTCTGCCTCACCTGCCCTGCGTGTCTTTGGAGACACCGCGGCAGCTCCGCGAGTCTGAAAACGTGTCAGCAGACGTACCCGTGCCGCTTCTCTGGAAAGCTGGCTTTGGCCTGACCAGAGCGCTTTACAAACGGAGCTGAATTAAAGCGCTGGGAGCGCATCACGGTTCGATCTCCCCTTTCCTGTTAGGAGAGAGAGAGGGCGGTTTGGCTTGTGGAGCCAGTGTGGGAATGGTCCGTGTCTTTCGGGTTGTACGTGGTTTTAAAAGGGCTTTTGTCTTGTATCTTGAAAGTGAGTGTTTTCTTCCTGTCAGTGTTGTGCAAACAAACACAAGATATTGAAACCACTGCACAGATCCAGCCTTTGTCACAGCCGTCGCTGCCCCCGCCGGCTGCTATCCCAGCCCCTCAAGGGGCGCCCTCGGTTGAGGAGCTCATTCAGCAGAGCCAGTGGAACCTGCAGCAGCAAGAGCAGCACCTCCTTGCGATGAGACAGGTAGGCTTGAGGCGGCTCGTGAGTCCCGCTGATGCGCCAAGCGGCGGTTGTGTGGCTGCAGGGTTGCATGGCTTGGTAACGATGACCCGAATGAGGAAACTTAGTGTCTTGCCAGGGATGGACGATGCAAGCTGGCATCACTTTGTGTATGGCATCAGCTGCAGAACAGAAGGAATAGACTCCGTAGAGCAGAAGTAACTAGTCATTGCTTTGCTGAGACCCCATTTATAATTCACCAGGAGCGTGAAGACCACGGTGGTCTTCCATAAACTGGAGCGAGTTGTAATTATCTTCAACTTTGACATGGTGCTGTGGCTTGTCAGTACTGCGTCCAATTCTGGGCTCCACAATTGAAAAAGGATGTGGAGAAGCTTGAGAGAGTCCAGAGAAGAGCCACGCACATCATAAGGTCTGTTTTCCTGACCTCTAATCATGAGAGGCTGAGAGCCCTGGGACTCTTCAGCCTGGAAAAGCGCAGGCTGAGGGGTGATCTGGCGGCCTCCTATAAGTTTATCAGGGGTGACCAACCGGATCTGGGGGAACGAACGTCTGTTCACCAGAGCGCCCCAAGGGATGACCAGGTCGAACAGTCACAAACTCCTCCATGACCGTTTCAGGATGGACATAAGGAAGAACTTCTTTACTGTCCAAGCCCCCAAGGTTTGGAATAGGCTGCCACCAAAGGTGGTTTAAGCAGCCACTTTAAACGCCTTCAAGAGAAAATTGGATGTTTATGTTGCTGGGATCCTATGGTCCCTGTTGACTTCCGGCCCCTGGGGCAGGGGGCTGGACTCGATGATCTTCCGAGGTCCCTTCTAGCCCGAATGTCTGTGAAATCTGTGACTACACACCCAAGCATGACATGCTACGTTTTTTATTTAAATACTGATTTGGGGCTGAGATGAAAGGTTGTTCACAAAAGAATTACTTTGGGAGCGATGGTTCGTTGTTAAAGGTGCAGGGTACCTAACTCACTAAAGGTTCTCTGGAGAAAGAGTATGGGCTTATGTTAGGCCTTCAGCAACATTTTAGAGGCCCTTATTTATTTCCTGCTAGAGCAGGGGCGCACAAAACGTGGCCTGCCAGGCCATTCTGTCCCACGGGGCCCCTGAGAAATTAAAAAAATATATATTTATCTGCCCCTGGCTGCCTGTTATGCAGCCCTCAGTGGCTTGCCAAAACTCAGTAAGCGGCCCTCCGCCAGAAATAATTGCCTGCCCCTGGGCTAGAGCGACTGGGAGGTTTTCTCATGGTAGACCAGGGAAAGGTGACGGTGATAACCAGCTGAAATATAGCTATGCTTCTCCCACTGTGAATAGAAAATACGGCCTCTAAAGGTATTAAGCCGCTCCTGTGGCTAAAGTGATTTGAACGTTTCTGTTGAGTTTTTGTGCCCAAAGAATATAGGGTGTATTAAAATTCAGCTTTTTTTCAGGAACAAGTTACATCAGCAGTAGCCCTTGCAATTGAACAACAAATGCAGAAAGTCTTGGAGGAGACCCAGCTAGATATGAATGAATTTGACAATTTGCTACAGCCGATAATTGATACGTGTACAAAAGACGCAATCTCAGTAAGTAAGCATCTAAACTTATCTATGTTCCGTGTTTGCCTTCGGAGGTGACTCGCTCTCGCTTGTTATGAGTGGAGAGGCAGGTAGTGTGAGGAGATTGTTTTAATGTAAAAAGATTGGGCCGCTGTTGTTAATTCCACGTGGTGTCATAAACTGTCTGTTCTGTTCATGGGCAGCTTGTTGGCAGCTCTTCAGTGCACAGTGACAGCCTGTAACCTGGACCACCGACCTTGAGGCGTTGAAACAGCAGATGGGGTGGAATTGCTAATTAAAGATACTGTCAGTCCCTGGTTCATAGTACAACTGGGAAAGCTCACTAAGCTCTGGACGTCTGCTAAAAATCTCTGCTGAGGGGCCCAAATTAGCAATTGATTGGGTTTGGAGAAATGACCAAGGGCAAAAGGGGACAAAACAGCCTAACGTCTTGGGGAGCAATGGTGAAATCTAATGCTGGACAGAATTCAGCAACCAAAATCTTAAGCCAAACAACCACCGAGTGTCGTCATAGTCTGTACTAGACCTTTCATTCATCTTTAGTTTCACAGATCTTTAATTCCATTGTGTATGATTTTAACGTTTCTTTTTATTTAATTGTGCAGCTTGTATCATAGCCTGTTGTCTAAGAATTTTTCCCTTCTTGCAGTTGTCCCTGCAAGAAGAGATTTTGTTTTTTGTTTGCTTTTTTTTGGTTTTTTTTAAGTCTATACAGTATGAACAAGTATGGCTAACTAACTTAAAATATTTTAATTGGTTGATTCCAAGGCTGGCAAGAACTGGATGTTTAGTAATGCAAAGTCTCCTGCACACTGTGAGCTGATGGCTGGGCATCTGCGAAATCGTATAACAGCAGAAGGAGCCCACTTCGAGCTTCGATTACATTTAATCTATCTAATTAATGATGTATTGCACCACTGGTAAGAATAAAAAGATGGTCTTCAGTTTGCTGTTTTGGTGAGTTTGATGGAAAGTCAGGGATCTCCCTGCTAGAGATGTCTTTAGTTGGAATGGACACCTTTTTATATTCTTCATCTGCATATTCCTATCATATATTCAACAGTTGTAAATAAGTATAATTGGTGCAAAGAAAGTGTTGGTAGAATAAAGACTGAATTCAGTTTTTACAGACATTATTGTATGTTGTTCCCAGCTGAGGTTGCGTGGTACAAATGTGAAGAATCCTATTCTTTATATAGAGACGGGTTACTAACTATAGGTGTCTGCTTGGCACGCTAGAATGGGAACACACTGCGTGTTGTAACTTGCTTAACAGTATAGTGAAACATTGACAGTCTTTTTCCTTTTATAGCCAGCGAAAGCAAGCACGGGACCTTCTGGCTGCCTTACAGAAGGTGGTTGTGCCTATATACTGTACCAGCTTTTTAGCTGTGGAAGAGGATAAGCAACAGAAAATTGCCAGAGTAAGTAGTTTTTTTTTTACGTTAATTTGAGCTTTACATTTCCATGCTGGAAAAATTCATAAGTAACGGTGCAAGGAACTGTTGTGATCATGTAATCTGACCTCTGGCTCAGACAGGCTCTACATAGATTCATAGATGTTAGGGTTGGAAGGTACCTCAATAGATCATCGAGTCTGACCCCCTGCATAGGCAGGGAAGAGGGCTGGGGCTAGATGACCCCAGCTAGATACTCATCTAACCTCCTCTTGAAGACCCCCAGGGTAGGGGAGAGCGCCACCTCCCTTGGGAGCCCGTTCCGGACCTTGGCCACTCGAACTGTGAAGACGTTCTTCCTAATGTCCAGTCTAAATCTGCTCTCTGCTAGCTTGTGGCCATTATTTCTTGTAACCCCACAACTTTCTGGAATTAACTTTTGGTTTCACTAGAGCAGAGCTTCTAAGAAAAATGCCCAGCCTTGATTTAAAAATTGCTAGTGATAGGAAATCCATCACTACTATTGAAATTTGTTCTAGTACTTATTAACCAAATGAGGTAGAGACCCTTGTGGTGAAGTTATAAACATGTAATATACTTCCCTCTAACTTTCTTTTGTCTTTCTGTCATCATGCAATAACTTTTTCCCTTCCTAAATTTATACAGCTCCTTCAGCTGTGGGAGAAAAATGGCTATTTTGATGAATCAATTATTCAGCAGTTGCAGAGCCCAGCTCTTGGACTTGGCCAATACCAGGTTAGCCACAGAAAGTGTAGTATATTTTTGTAAATTAAATAAATTGCAGACGTGTTTTAAGCAGTGCATACGCTACTACTTTGAGAGGTGTGTTATGTATATATTTTGAAAAAATCTGTAGTTTTTATTGTGAATTTGTGTTACTTGACTATAAAAGTAATATAGCATATTGTTCAGTAGCTGAATGGAGCATGTCATTAAACAGCTCTGACCATTATCACCTCTGTAGTCCTTTTCCATCACCACTTCAGTCCCAGTTCTGCTTTCTGGGCTTGTATGTTTTGTTGATAACTTTCCCCATGTTGCCAAACATTCTGTTCTCCATAGTCCCTTCCTTCCTTTTCCTGGTTATTGTTATCCATGTGTTCTGTGATGCCTTGCATAGTTCCACTGACCTCTTTCTTGTGATGATCAGGTTGAAGGCCAGTAACATCCAGTTCTTGGATAAGTCAGTATGTGCGCAAAAGGGGAAATACCACTGCAAATAGCACTTGTCAATCAATGTGGACTTATTAACTGACTAATAATAGTTATTGGTGTATCCTCATCGACTTGCTGAAATGATGTGTTATGGTACTTGTGACTGAGTGAGGATGGTGGTAGTTTGTGTTGGCTGCAGCAGTAAACTCTGAAATGCTTGTCTTTGTTTCCTGTTGGCAGGCAAACTTGATGACAGAGTATGCAACAGTAGTGCAGCCTGTGCAGGTAGCCTTTCAGCAGCAGATACAAAACCTGAAAACACAACACGAAGAATTTGTCAGCAGTTTAACACAGCAGCAGCAACAGCAGCAGCAAATACAAATACCACCGCTAGAGAGCGAGGTAAAAGCAACACCCCCAGCTCCAGCACCGGCTCCGGCTCCGGCTCCAGCTCCTCCAGCTGCCCCAGTCGCACAAGCAGGTACAAATCCACTATGATACTGGTTGGCGGTCTGTCTGTTTGTCTAGATAGCGGTCTACAATGCTAGACTGACTTCTAATCATGTAAACATCAGCCTAAAAATGCTTGCATCTGTTTTGTGCGGTGCGTAGTACAGTCTGGCTCCGTTCCGTTGTGGGTGTTGGCTGTTACTGAAATACAGAGTTTTTGTAGATTGCATAAGTTATGAACCTGAGGTTGTTCCCATTATCTTCCATCTCTGCTGTTATCATCCTGTAGTCAAAACCGCTTCTTCTCATTTGCTTAGTTTTTAGCCATAAATATACACTGGTGGGTGCTTTGGTAATGCCTTATTTCATGGAAATCAGACACAGTTGTTTCTGTCTTCTATCAAACAAATGGCTCAGGTGCTGAATTTGCAAAAATCCATCTATTCAGTGACTGTTGTAGGTGTTTAGCACTATTATTGGAGCAACTAAAAGATCAAAGTAAAAAAGTGTTTAATTTGGTCCAAAAGTCTGTATAAATAAGAAGCACAAATGCTACGTAAACTGAGATCGGAACTCTTTTACATGCTTATCCTTGTGTCCAGCCTATTTTTAAATGGACTAAGCTGTATATTTGAGGTACTTACAGCAGTCTCTGATTTGTTACAGATGATGGTAAGCCTCAGCTTCCTTTAGCTGGTTCTACAGAGTATGATGCATCGGGAGCTGGAGTGCAAGATCCATCAGCTGCTGGACCTCGTGGCCCTGGATCTCATGATCAGATTCCTCCAAATAAACCACCCTGGTTTGACCAGCCTCACCCTGTTGCACCCTGGGGTCAACAACAGGTACCAAATGTGTAACTTTAGATGTTGAGAAGTATGTGGATGACCCAGGCTTGGCTGAATGTTGGAGGTGGGGAGGTGGGAGTTGCTTAGCAAGAACACCACAATAGTAGAAGGCTAGAAGCTGGATATGTTAGAAGTCCATTTCCAAAGTCTGGAATAAAGTTAAAGAGCAAGGTCTGGCTGAGGGTTCATAGCTGGTATCCTTCATTTGGGAGAAGACAGAGGCTACCTGCAAGATACAAAACCATTTAGGTCAGTGGAAATGAGCACTCTGCTAAATCCATTTTACTTTTTCCTTCAAAATTCCTTTGACTCCTAATTTACAGTCTTCACACACGCACGCATTCTGTCTCCTCAGTGCACATATAGCATTTACGTTCTAGGCAACATTTAGTTTAAAAATAGACTGCTTTTATTACGTTCTTTATTTTTATAGCCTTATGACCAGCCTCCTTACCCTCACCACCAGGGGCCTCCTCACTGCCCTCCGTGGAACAACAACCACGAAGGAATGTGGAATGAACAGAGAGACCAAGGATGGAATAATCAGCGAGACACCCCTTGGAATAACCAACCAGATCCTTCTTGGAACAGCCAGTTTGAAGCGCCATGGAACAACCAGCATGAGCAGCCTCCATGGGGTGGGGGTCAAAGGGAACCTCCATTTCGAATGCAGCGACCACCCCACTTCAGAGGCCCATTCCCTCCACATCAGCAACATCCCCAATTCAACCAGCCCCCGCATCCACATAATTTCAACCGCTTCCCACCTCGTTTCATGCAGGATGATTTCCCACCTCGCCATCCCTTTGAAAGGCCTCCTTATCCTCATCGTTTTGATTATCCCCAGGGGGACTTTCCTCAAGGTAAAGTGTGTACTCGAGCAGGGTCTCCTGTGTCACGATGCTGATTACTGTTGTAAAATGTTTTAATTTTTTTGGAAGGAGGACACCTCAGTCATGGACTGGCATAGCTCTCCCTGAAGTGTTTGGCTGTTAGAGGCTGAGAAACTGCTGTTGTATGTATAGGGTGTAGCTGTTGCCTCGAGTTTACCTTCTGCTTTTCAGTCCTCCTTTCCCTGAGAGGTAGTGGGTGATTGAACCCTATAACAAGTCCTTGTTGTGTTCAGCAGAAATTTGCACCCCTGTTCCTTCAGAAGAGTGGTATCTGCAGGTGTCCAGATGCCAGCGCAGCTCTGGTTGGGCTCTGTCTGCAAATTCATTGTGTATTTTCAGATTTGTCGTGTTTGCAGCCAGCAGCCCTTGCTCAGAATTTCTTGATAGCATAGCTCGGAGGTCTTCCATGGATTAACTCCTCCTTCCTGTGCGGTAGTTGACTGTGACATATTTTAAATTCAAGGCTGTTTTTGTTTTTAATGTTTCCAGTAATAGAGAAGCTATTGCAGCCTCAGACCATCTCTTGAAATGTATTGGAGCTCTGCCTGAATATAATGTGGAAGGGCAGCCTAAGCTATGGAAAATAAGAGCTCTAAACCCAAAAAGTTGATCTTTGTTTTGGGTTCTAGTGATGAACTGGAGCCTCCGTTATCAAATGTTTATAGAATCTGAAAATGGCATGGAAAAGTTTCTTACTGCTTCATTTATGTTCTAGTGCTAATGGAAACAACAGACTATTAGCACTGGCTCGAGCTGGGTAGTCACTGTGCAGATTTCTCCTATCAGGGTCTGCCGGTGAGGCTCAGTTCTGTCCTGCAGCACCCTCTGCTGTTCCAGTCCTGCATCTCCCCTGCCGTTCACAGTGGGCCTAGCAGGGTGTGCTGTACCAAGCCTGGCACTCTCAAAAGCCAACCATTTTGTCCATTTAGGGATCAGGCTGAGACAACGTATTTCTCTGTTTTAACAGGTATATTTTCTCTCCTTTATTTTGGAAAGCACCTTTAACAGAGCTCTTGCACGTCACATACTCATGTGAACTCACTTCTGTCGTGTCTGTTTCTTTGCATCGATTGATTGGATAAGGGGAGAGAGAACTCGAACATCCATTGCATTGATGCTAAATTGCAATTGTATATTCTGGACTGGTAAACAGAGGCTGTAGGTGCCTTCCTTGCTAAGTGCAAATGACTTTCTTTTGGGACCACTTTTACTGTGACCTTTCCAAACTCTTGGTACCACAAAGTGATAGGGGTTTAGTTTGTGAAATCGCTCTCGACTCTGAGAGTAGCTGCTGTAGGTGAAGAGGGAGAGAGGCTGCAGTAGCTTCATGAGGAGGAACCTGCAGTAGGCTCTTGCTCTATCCTGTTCCTTCCAGTAGTTTGTAAGCTTTCCACCTAGTAAGATGTTCTTATAGGACTAATGTATGTGGCCAGGGGATCTCCTGTCGGCTCCCTCTCCTTCCTGCTTTTTACTGTAAATGGAAATTAAAGTTTCTTTACCCTCCTCCCTTGTGTAGAAATTGGACCGCCTCATCACCACCCTGGACACAGATTGCCTCATCCTGGAATCAGTGAGCATCCGCCTTGGGGTGGGCCACAGCACCCTGATTTTGGGCCTCCGCCACATGGATTTAATGGGCAGCCTCCTCACATGAGGCGACAAGGTCCCCCTCACGTGAACCATGATGATCCCAGTTTGGTGCCAAATGTCCCCTACTTTGATCTTCCTGCTGGACTTATGGCTCCTCTTGTGAAAGTAAGTGGCTGATAATGGACCTGACCAGAGGGTTAAAAGATCAAACTTACTGCCGTTCATTTTAGGGGCAGGTTAAAACAGACATTTATTCCTTCAAATCTGCCTAAGACTCAGTGAAAGTAAATTAGGTTTAAGCACCAAAGTCACTGAAGTGCTTTCTAAAATTTACCTATAATTTACAAAACAGCAGTCCATAATCATTTAGAGGAATTATAGAGGTATCATCAAGTCCCTCTCTGGCCACACATGGTTACTGCTAGTCTCAAACTCTTCTGTGAAGATGGATCATTTATATTTAAGTTAAAGCTACAATAAAAGCATCAGAACTTGAACTGTAGGCACTGGAGACTCCTGGGGAGCTAAATTGTATCTGTGTCTTTATCACTGTTCTGGACAGATTAATAGATATCTGATTTCTGTTCTTCTCAGTGCACATCATTGTCTCTGAGGCCTCCTTTCAGGTGCTGTGATATCATGGGGGCAGATCGATTAGAATTGCATGTTCTCTATTTGGGAATCCCAGCTAATGTCCTGACATCCTAAATGCTGCGAATGTCACCGGAGTTTGTCTTCTACAAGGCAGCAGATGCAAGTGCTGGGTCATGTGTAGGACCTTTATTTTTTTTAGACAGTTTGTAATCCAGTAATGAACTAGACAGTTCCTAAGCAGTTGAGTCTTTCTAGGTATATTTATTTCCAGGTAGTTACCCCATGACACACATGTAATTTGTTTTGTTTCCGGCAGCTTGAAGATCATGAGTATAAACCTTTAGATCCTAAAGATATACGTCTTCCACCCCCAATGCCCCCCAGTGAGAGACTACTGGCTGCGGTTGAGGCATTTTATAGTCCACCATCTCATGACAGGCCTAGAAACAGGTAAGAGTAGGTATAGCTAACAGTGTGGTAAGGAAAATGCCCTAAGAAGCTGTCTCAAATCAAGAAATGCCTCTCCCTTCCTTCGCCTATAACTTTGTTCTAATGATGAGAATAAGTGCTTTACATTATATGTTAAACTTCATGCTGTTTGCTCTTTCTCTGGGTGACACTTCTTTCCCAAGCCCCTTATTCTCTAAAAATATAGGGAGTATTCTGACCTCTGATGAAAATGGAATTTTCACAGACTCTGATTGTGTTACGTTGGCTTATTGCAGTGAAGGCTGGGAACAGAATGGCCTGTATGAGTTCTTCAGAGCTAAAATGAGAGCTAGACGGCGGAAAGGTCAGGAGAAGAGAAACAGGTGAGAGATCTGTTTCCCATGGCCTCTGGTTTGCCTCTCCCACCGCTGCTCCCCCCTACCGCCTCCCCCCTCACTTTGCTCCCATCCTGGCTTTTGTATTCTAATCACTCTCCACTTTATGTAGACTGCTCTGTGCATGTCCTTTCACAGCATCTGATGAAGTGAACCTGGGCTCACAAAAGCTTGTGATACATAGGTTAATATGCAAGGTGCAAATCTTCCCTGCCATCTGCTTGACTTCAGACTAACACAGCTAACTATGTCTACCTGTATCCATTTAAAGACTGCTCCTTGTGCCTCCAATTCATTGTCCATTGGAGTTGTTTTCTGTATGTGCTGGGGTGATAAGCCTACATTTTTTAGAGTTTGGGTTGTTTAAGATGTAGAAAAACAGCATCTTTGCCACCCTGACACCTTTTGACTTAAGTGGGTTTTTAGCAAAATAGCATGTTTCCATCTTAGTTTGATTGAAAATACGTATCATTAAAACAGCTCATGACTTGTTTTTTGTTCTCTGTGCAGCGGGCCCTCTCGGTCTCGCAGTAGGTCCAAGAGTCGAGGTCGCTCCTCCTCCCGGTCCAATTCAAGATCTTCAAAGTCATCTGGCTCTTACTCAAGATCCCGATCTCGATCTTGCTCCCGATCACGATCGTATTCACGATCACAGTCCAGGTAAGACAAAGCAAGAACTCA